ATAAATTAATTAATTGGATTTGTTATTTATATTTTCGAATTAATTAATTGGATTAATTAATTCACGGACCGGGTTTAATTAATTGGATTAATTAATTATTGGACCGGACCGGGCCGAGCCTGTTTGGGTTTATATAAATACATAACTAGGGTTTGAGGTCCATTAAGGTTTTCATTATTCTTGCTAGCACAAGAGAAAACCCAAGAGGCTGCAATCATATTCTCTGTGTGGATCACCGTTGGAGGCTGGACAATTGGACAGCTGTGGTGGCAAATCAAGATTGATGGAACAAAAAGAAAAGCAAAAAGATTGCAGATCTGACAAAAGGTACAATCTTATCACAATTCCTAACCAAACACAATGAGATCTATTGGATGGGAATCGAAATAATTTAATTTTCCGCTGTGCATGTATAAGTAGATTCCCAACACCTACGTCCTCCCACCTTCCCCGATTCCCTGCAGGGGGAGGGGACGAAGCAAAAATACTGACAGAGTGTTGAAAGAGTCGAATATATTAATCAATTTTAGTTTTTCATGACCATTCGCATAAAAATTCAAGATATATTATCGAGAAAATCTCTGTTGCTAGAGGAAGATTACCATCAAGAAACAATTTTGAGTAGAAATAACAGAAATAAAAGATCAATTGGTGATACTAACCTTGGGATGAAGAAATTGAGTAGAAATCACTGCAATAGAAGATCTATTGGCGCGATACCTTGCACCTGTTGCTCGATCAATTGCACTTACGAATTACACAAGATCAACTGGTGCCAAGGAAAACTCCCTTAGCCGCTTGTTAGATCTATCAATTTAAGCCCGTGTTTATTTCGAGGAAATACGCAAAAATGACTCTATCACTCTAGCAAATTTTAACATGCGACTTTAACCATTAATTCAATTAAAAAAATAAAAAAAGTTAAAAAATAACTTTAGACACAAAAGGACGATTTTACCATTGACAAACTGTTTTGGAAGCTAACTGTGAGATCTAAAGAAAATCGACACCCCAATTGCCACATTTTCCAATCAACCACGGACTGATCGATGCGCGACTTGGATCAACTACCATTATCTATCCCCAGGCGAAATCATTTCGGTTAGTTGTTATATAATCAATTAAAAAAATATTTGTAATTTTTGTTGTTATAAAATCAATTGAAATTTTTTACATTTATTCGGTTTAAGCATGAGTAGAACTAGATTGTGTGGTGTTTGGGTGGAAAATGTTAATTTTTTGGACCTCTCATTGTCAAAAATGACGATTTCCGACGAAGAAAGGCCTTGTGAACGATGTCGACTGTTAACAGTCAGGTTTAACAATCTTGAGCCGACTGTTAACAGAAAAAACAGTCTAATCGGCCCATGACTGTTAACAGTCGGCCCAAAGACTGTTAACATTTAAATTTTTTTTAAAAATATATATATATTTAATTTTTAATTTTTAAAATATATTTTATTATTAATTTATTAATAATTATGTTATTTATTTACTTATTTTTTTAATTGTCTTTTATTTATATAATTTAATAATTGAATATTATCTGAAATTAACAATTTATTTTCCATGTTATTTATTTAATTTTAAATTTTTTTTGTAAATATATTTTTCAAATGTAATATATAAGATTAATTTTCTTTATAATTTTTATTTGATTAAATAATAATTATGTTATTTAGTTATTTAATTTTTATATTCTTTAATTTTTTAAAATTTATTTAAATAATATTTATATTCTTTAATTTTTTTTGAAAATATATTTAATCTTTAATTTTTAATTTTTTTTTGTACTCTTTAAATATTAATAATTTCCTTTTACTGAAAATCTCATTAATTTATTTTTTAATTTAATTAATTATTTTTTACATTTGTATTAAATTTATTTTGTTGTCAGCGTCAAGAATTCGGTTCCCATTGATTTTTTGAGATTATGCGTTATTTTATTATCTCTTGTTCAATATTCTAACATTTAAATTTTTGCAGGATGAAGTATCACTTAAATGGGGAATTGAGACAGATAGCGGGGAAAGTTACTTGAAATAGTAGTTTCGAGAGTTTTACTGTTGTGTTGGAGCTGCTCGATGATCATCGCGGAGATATGTTACGACAGTCCTTCTTGTGGCCACTATACCATATGCGAGAGGTGCAGTACTCAGGACTGATCATCGATACACTTCTATGTCGGCTTCTGAGGCCAGTCGACGGCGATTTCCTTCATTTCGACCTTAGGGGCAAAGTCGTCAATTTCTCGATGTATAAGTTGAGCTTGATCACTGGACTGAGGATTACGGACGACGATACAGCCATTGAGAGAAGCAATAGGTTGTACGAGACGTACTTCCAGGGACATGGATCAGTACTTCTACCCCAGTTGATGGTCGCGATTGTTCGTCAAATTCTTGCAAACGTACGAGTTCGTTGTACAAGTAATAATCGTGATGAGAGAGTTATCGTCCCACAGGGAATAATGATCAATTTTAGTA